GCAAGGAGGGGCCCCCCCTAGTTATAAGTAGAGTTATAAGGACCCCAAATTGGGTTATAAGGATCCTAGCTTAGGTTATAGGACCCTTAACTATAGTTAGTATAGTAAGGGGGCCCCTCCTTGTGGTTATTGCGGCCCAGGTCTGTCATCAATGCGGTCCTGCTGATCTTCAAGACCGTGGTGGCTGGAGATAGATGGGGCCACGTGGCAAGGAGACAACCCTGACCTAAGGCTTTAGGGTTTAGGGTTTCGGTGTCCCGACGCCAGCGCGGGAGAAGGTTGAAATCCGCCGTTTCCGAAAAACTCGAAGCCCCGCAAACGAACAGCCCACACCCCTGCAAGACACGGCACATCCAGCAGAGGTGACGTGGCGGTCCCGCTTATACAGCAAGAGCCCTTCCTCGCGTCCCTTGTCCGAATTTGTTCGTTTCCTGCCTCCAGGCAAGAGGAAAGGATCTATAGGTCTATAGGGGTCGGAAAAACTGCCAGTGTTATTCCCTTCTAGTCCCTAAATAATGATACCATAATGAGTTTAATGACCCCCCAAAACCTAATTCGAACTATTCGTCCCTATATAATGATACCATATAATGACCCCCCAAGCCCAATTCGAACTGTTAAGGCGCCAAGAGGTTCCAGGGTTTCGGATCTCCTGTTGGCGAGTCTACGCAGCGCCGGCCAGATGCAACCGCCTTTTGTGGGGGCATGTGCCCTAAACCCTAAACCTTAAACCCTAAACCCTGAACCCTAAACCTTAAACCCTAAACCTTAAACCCTAAACCCTGAACCCTAAACCTTAAACCCTAAACCCTAAACCGCATGCCTGCAGAAACGGTGGGTTTTACATCGCAAGATGAGGGCCCTACTATTTGGTCTTCGGGAGACATAGTATCAATAGAGTCATGGCGGGGCGCTATTTCTCTTGTAGTTCGTATCAGTGCTAGTATGCTCTCTCTTATTCGAAGAGTCTTTAATGGGGGGATTATAGTACCCCCCCCCCTATTACAATCCCTATTAAGGACTGTTTGTATAAGGGGGAACATCCCAAGTTATTGTTGTTATCACTGAAATCGTTTTGTCGTCGGGAGGCTCTGGCTGTATGGGCGCCTAACCTGAGGTGCAAAGTTTTTTGTTTGGTGGTTTGAAGTGACAGAGAAGACTATAAACTATAAGCCTCGCAGACGACGTTCGGGTTTACAACCCGAATCTATATTAACTCAAAAAAGCTAACCGTGTTCCTCAAGTGCTTGAAGGTCGTTGGAGAACTCGGTGTGTAGCGACATGTGCCCAACCGAAGTAGAAGATTGACTTCAACTAGCTGCCTTTTCATCTCCAATTCTCACATCACTTGTCACGAAGCATCCGTTTGACGATGCGGCCTTCAAATGCCACGACTTTAAATGCTAGCCACCTATGCCAGGTCCAGCATCTTCGTCGGCTCCCACTTGACCATTGTATTCGGCGTTTTGCTTCTTGACAAACAAGCTATGAAAGCTAGACTCTCAGAACCTACAGTCAAACTTACGCCTTAAGCATGCAATTCCTCCCTTAAGCCTTAAGCCCTAATTAAAACCTAAACCCTCAACATTTTCCTAAAGCTGCGTAACTGCAAAGAAGCCATGGCCGTGAGGTCAAGATCAAGGATGGGTCGAAAGGCTTCAGGAGCAGAATTTGCGAGAACCCGCAAGCCCCGCCCCAAACACCTAGGGTAAACCCTACGCCCAGCCTAAACGCTAAACCCTAAGCCCTAAACCCTAAGCCCTAAGCCCTAAACCCTAAGCCCTAAGCCCTAAGCCCTAAGTCCTAAGCCCTAAGCCCTAAGCCCTAAGCCCTAAGCCCTAAACCCTAAACCCTAAACCCTAAACCCCAACCAACGCGCACAAGCTTTGCCTTAAAGTGCTTTCTCACAGTCTCGCTAGGCGTGGTTTTCTGAAATGGGGGGCCCTATACATAGTACGGCACCCTTCAAAGGAAGCGCCCGAAAAGGGACCCTAATTGAGAGAACTACCCGAAGCCCCCTTCACTATTTGCCTAAGCTCTCTAAATATCAACCCCTGTATGGGGGGCCCAAGTGTCGCTGCACTGTTGCAATAAACCCTAAACCCGGGACCCTAGACCCTAAACCAGAAATTCCTGTGGAGTGGCTCGCCCAGCTACCCGGGTGCCAACAAAGCCCTCATGCATGAACCCTCAACCCTCCCTAAACCCTAAACCCTAAATCCTAATCCCCACACCCCAAACCCCAAACCCCAAAGCCCAAACCCCAAACCCTAAACCCTAAACCCCAAACCCCAAACCCTAACCGCTAAACGGCTAAACCGCTAAACCCTAAACCCTAAACCCCAAGGAATTTGGTCGTGGCTGTCGTGGTCGACACCTTCGCCGAGCAGCGGCTCAAAGATGTTGCGACCATGGTCGCCCGGCGAGGTTTAGGGTTTAGGGTTGAGGGTTGAGGGTTGAGGGTTTCGGGTTTAGGGTAGTTTAGGGTTTAGGGGGTTTAGGGTTTAGGCTTTAGGGCCCAAAAAAACCCACATAAACATGAGGATCCTACAAACAGGGTTTTTCGGAATCCCCCCCGTGATGGGGGCCCTTCTACCCCAATTGGAGATCTGGTTTTTTGGGCCCTCTCAACAGAAGCCCTACGCTCAGGGCTCAAATAGGGTTGCCTAAAGCCCGAAAAGCTCTTCAAGAGGAGTTACTTGGAGTATCACCGGTAAGGGGTACGCTCAGATATAGGGTCATTAGATAGCATAGGTTGGTTTACTGGCTTAGTGTCGAGCCGTTACTGGATTCAGAGAACCCTAAACCCTGAACCCTGAACCCTAAACCCTAAACAAACAGGGTTATAAGGGCTGCAGCGGGCAAGGCCATGGAGATGGACGAGGAGGCAGAGGACGATCTGCGGGAACTGGATCGGATCTTCTTGAAGATCGATCAGGACTAGGGTTCGGGGTTTGGGGTTTAGGGTTTAGGGTTTGGGGTTTAGGGTTTAGGGGTTTAGGGGTTTAGGGGTTTAGGGGTTTAGGGGTTTAGGGGTTTAGGGGTTTAGGGGTTTAGGGGTTTAGGGGTTTAGGGTTTAGGGCACCAGGTGTGCGCTGCATGTTTTCTTAACCACCCTGGGTCGCGAACCGCTAGAACCTGAATCGAACTCAGTAAGAAACGTGGTGCCACTCAAAATTTGTCAACCCCCCCTGAAGATGCTGTACTAGGACGAACCAAGGAGTCATCTGGCTGTCCAGGTTTTAGAGCTGCAATCCCCTGCGCTTTCCCCTGGGAGTTTAGTGCGTAGGGTGTCCCTAAAACCCTCTAAGCGCTATGTAGGCTTTCACGTAGCGCTGGCGGTCGAAGCTGTTTAAACAGCAGCTAGGTATCGCTGTGCCCTTGGAGCTGTAGCTTCCCCAAAATGCAAAACAATGTGACGTCCTTGCTATTTGGGTTTGCGACCAGGGGCCCCTGGTAGAGGCCGCAAATTGTAGGATCCCCTTACAATAATACAGACCCCAGTTTTAGGTACCCCTAATTCGGAACCCCCCCCCCCCCCCCCCCCCCTGTGTTCTTGAAGCTGAGGCCACATTGATATGCAGGGTTCCTTTTTTTGGTTTCACAAGCCCAATGTGAGCAAGTATTAGGGGTTTAGGGTTTGGGGTATAACTAGTTGGCTTTACCCGGTTGGTGCCCGTGCACTCCGCCCGTTTATCCCCGCACTCTTCTGACAGGACATGGATGGTACCTTGACTTTCGATGAGCTGGTAGACGGTGCTCGTCGGGTCCGCGAGTTTCAGCACCTTGGTTTTCATGCCACATTGGTCTGAATCAAGTGGGGATTTGGGTGGAGAACGCCGCCATGACTGGTGACTTGCCATGTGAATCTACGTGCCGTAAACCCTAAACCCTAAACCCTCAACCCTAAACCCTAAACCCTAAACCCTAAACCCTAAGCACAGTTCCAAGTCCTCGAGCACTGCGTGCACTTCAGGAATCGCCTGAGAGTCATGGACATTGACCAACAGGCCTGGCCGAGGGGGGAGGGGGGGGTTTAGGGTTTAGGGTTTAGGGCCTAGGTGGTGGAAGGGGGGTAAGACAGCTGAAAGCAGCTCAACACTATGATTAATCAAGGTCCTCGAGGTGCAAGGGTAGCTACATATCTGGGTGTTAGAACTACTCGGAATAAGGTTGATTCGGTTACCCAACCTGCATTGGACTCTACCTTGGGCCCCTGAGGTTGTACCTTGGGCTTGTTGTCCCTTTTACGGATCCTCTAAGGGAAAGCAAGGGATATGTTCGGAGGATATTAAAGGGCTCTTGGGCTGCAAAATTCCGAGTCCGAGCATGACTCTCTTGACACTTTTTTGTCTACGTGGTCAACTTTTGCCGGTATCCTACTTGATACTTCCAAGTGAGCACGAGTCACGAGGTGATGCACGGCCGATCGCCTGGCCTACTATGCCATGGGGGGGGGGTGAGTCGTAGGTCGAGGTCGCCTTTCAGGCACTTGATGTCACATGTTGCCTTTTCAAAGGATCCTAGGCAGGCCCCTGGGACATTTTATAGTTTCCCTTTTGGGGTTTAAGAGGATCATGTGCAGGCATAATATGTTTCCGAGGGTTCTTTAAAGGCCATCCTATGATCAGGGGACTGGCCATGTATGTCTTAAACCCTAAACCCTAAACCCTCAACCCTAAACCCTAAACCCTAAACCTCAACCCCGAACCTTAAACCCTAAACCCCAAAAAAGAACCTCAAACCTCCTTAAACTCTAACCTTTAATCCTAAGCCCCCAAAAACACCTAAAACCTCCTTTGGGTTGCCATCAGACATGTGCGCCCTGTTTGAAGCTTGCGGCCTTTTTGCATTTCACCCCTTTGCTGCTCTGCAGGCTCAGATCCTCGCATGCGCACCAAGCCCCTCTAAAACCTTAGGCCCTGTTAACCCTGAACAAGCCTGGAACCCTCAACCCTCTCAACATCCCGCAACCCATCTCAACCCTAAACCCTCTGTGAATGCGGGCCCTGCCGGGTGCGCGATGGAAGGTCACCTGCGCAGTCTGCGCCGTGTTGTGTATAGCCAGAGACCAGTGCTGGCGACTCGCCGCCTCGACCTCGGCGCTTTCCTTCTCCTGCCGCGGCGCGCCCTCGGGCGCGCCCCGGGCGCCTCGGCCGCAGCGACGGCGGCCTCGCGGGCGACGGCCCAAGGGCAGGCAGACTTCGGCAGCACCGAACTCGGCGGCGGAGGCACGGAGGTGCGCCCCACCGGCCCCGGCGTTCATTCCAGGACTCGTGCGGCCAGAGGCCATTGATGTTGGAGAGCTGAACGCATCAGGAGACCTGGTCCTGGTGGATAAAACATCAGACTTGGAGGCGGTGGTGCGCTGGATCTCCGGAGGCGGTAGTGCCCTGGTGGTGGATCATTGGCGTGACTTGGAAAGATGCCGGGCTGCCGTCCTGAAACCACTGAGGCGAAGTCCTGCGAACGCGCAGGAGGCAGAAAGATGTCGCACTCTGAAAAAGACGCTTTCGGATCGATTGCTGGGTCCGGTGGCAGATGGCCGGATTGATCTTCAGGGTGCTCCGCGTGCGGACTTCTTGCTGACGCTGTACGGTGACCTTTTCGGGAGCGGTCGGCGATTCGCGCTGCCATCGGGTGTACTCATGGGCCTCTCGGTAGGCCTTTGATTTGTATTATCTCCGATTGTGTTCTAAGAGGATCATACATAGGAGTATGTCTTTAAAGAGAGTTTTAAAGGGCAATCCTAGGCCTAGGCAATGCCTGGCAGTACTTCGAGGGCGGCGTGCGATTTTCGTTCCTTGCGCCACCGGTCTTGTCCCAGCCACTCCGGCCCTTCTATGGTGTTTATGCATATCCGCACCCTGTGACGCATTTCGAGATGTTGATCGAATGGCTGCAGAACTGCAGCCGCTTGGGCCCACAACGAGCGCCGCAATGGGCGCTGGACCTTGGTACAGGCTGTGGTGTGGTGGCCTTGCTGCTACGGCAGATTGCCCCTCAGTAGCTGAATGAGTACACCTTTCACTTTTCGGGATACCATAATCCCCTAAAGAACTGAAAGTGTACACTTTTTTTGGGGGGCCTCTGAACTCACCAACTAAGGCCCGCATTCCACACGTCGTTGCTACAGACATCAGCCCCAACGCCGTCTACGGAGCCCAAGAAGAGATGAAGCGCCAGGACCAGGACATCGAGGTAGTCTACTCGGACCTCTTTGAAGAAAGCCTGTTCAGCAGTATGCTTTTGTTTTGCTTTTTTGGCTTTCTGGGTTCCTGTAGTATACTACAACTAACCCCCAAAAAAGTATGCACTTTTCTTCCCAGGGGCCACTGATGAACAGCCTAGGAAGGCTTAGGGGGGCGGAGATTTGATGTGGTGGTCTTCAACCCACCCTGGCTGCCGCTTCCCAAGCCCTCAGCCAGTGAGCCGCCCAGGACGGTCCTGGACTTAGGCAACTTCTACTCCCCCGATCCTAGGTAGGCACTTTCAGACATGTTATATATTCTCCTTTCAAACATGTTATATGTCGTCCCCTCAATTGGGCTTATAAGAGGAGTCACATGCTTAGGAATATGTTTTTTTCAGAGGGTTTTAAGGCGACATCCTAGGATCTCTTTGAGCGCTTCTTTGACAACTTGCACCACGTGCTGAATCCGGGGGGCCGAGCCGTGGTCCTCTTCTCCAACCACGCCACCAGCAGAGGCTCCGTGAGATTAAGACTCGGACACCTAAGGTGGTAACCCTAAGGGGTTCCCCTTAGTTATACTCCCAGTATGGCCCTTGCATTACCCCAAGGATCTCTCTAGAAAGGGTCCCCCCAAAACCCAAGCCCCAGCGAGGCTACGTGGACAAGCATCCCTTTGAGACCGCGCTCGGGCGCGGCGCGAGCGCGCGCTCCGCGCGCTCGAAGCATCTCCAGGTGGAGAAGGTCCCTTGCTTAGCCTTCTTTTTGGGTTTCCTTATTTGTAGGAGGAATAAGAAAGTTTAACGCTATCTGCGCGGTTCCTTCTTTAAAGTAGGAATCACAAAGTTTCACCTTTTGTTCCCCTTTCTGGTTCTTGGAGAAGTAAGGTCCTCACCCGACCCTTCGACCTCGAAGGGAGGCGCCGGCGAACCGGTCGCCCGCAAATGGCACAGCCCAGCCTGGAAGGGCCGGCCGCGGAGCTCTGGGAGTTCCGGCTCTGCTCCGAAAAAAGAAGTCCGCGCGGAGTCGACCTGCCTAATATAAGAGTTTTAGGGTTTAGTTTTTAGGGTTTAGGGTTTAAGGGACTATCATATAATAACTACATTTGCATCTGGGAGTATTTAGTATTAGGGGGCAGGGGGTAGGGGGGCGTGGATAACCTCTTTGACATGAGCTGGGGATGGCATTCGATGCTTCCGAAGTTGCTCTCGAGAAGCGAAGTTTCAAGCCTCCTTCCTAGCGCACGACCGGAGGACCTCCAGCAACTCTTCAACATGCTCGACCGGGATGGTGGCGGCACCATCGCCCCCTGGCTTTCCTAAACCCTATTTAGGGTTTAGGGTTTAGGGTTTAGGGGTTTAGGGTTCGCTTGGGGCCTCTACAAGGAGGGGCCTATCTAGTTATAAGTAGAGTTCTAAGGGCCCCAAATTGGGTTTTCAGGATCCTCACTTAGGTTATCAGTCCCTTAACTATACTTCGTATAGCGAGGGGGCCTATATGGCCTTCGCCCGAAGCCCTCCACCATCCTCCTCCCGAAACCCGAAACCCCGACCTTGCTTGCAATTCTTGCATGTAAATCAGATGATTGACACTTGAGTATGCAGCGGAGAACTAAACCCTGCGGCCCTCAATCTTCAACCCAAAACCCCTGCACCCTCGACTACTGTTTCTGCTTGCGAGCCGCCCAAAAAACTGAGAGACTACTTTTTTGGGTGGGGGTCTTAAGCAAAGAGTAGCTAAACCCCTACACCCTCTACGACCTATAAGGCCCAAGTTCTCGACATACACGCGCATAAGGGTGGGGCAGTTTGGGAAGATGCCAGAGAGCAGAAACCCTAACAGAAACCCGTTTAGCCTTTTGGTTTAATGGTTGGAATGTTCCCCCTTATACAGACAGTCCTTAACAGTCCTTCATAGGGGGTTATAGTAGCCCCGGTTATAACCCCTATTAAGGACTGTTAGTATAAGGGGGAACATCCCAACTCACCCTTTTTGAACCGAATCGAATTCTTTTCTTCTTTCCACATTTCTATATGGGTGGTTGTTAAAATTATGGTCCCTTTTGGATCCCTATTACAATACGGCACCTAATATTTGGGTACCCCAAAAGGGATCATAATTTTGACAGCCACCCATATAGGGGTTGTAGTTCTTTAGGGCGTGCGACCCCCCCCAATGTTTGGGTTCCTTCGGTCCCTTTAAGCACAGTCCTTCTTGACCCTAAGCCCTACACCCTCACCCCTAAACCCTAAACCCTACACCCTAAGCCGCAAGAACTTCAGTTCACCCAGGCCTCGCACCTCGGAACCCCCGAGTTGGGTTTAGGGTTTAGGGCTTAGGGTTCAGGGTTTGGGGCTTTAGGGTTTAGGGTTTAGGGTTCAGGGTTTAGGGTTTAGGGTTTAGGGTCCCACACTCAATGTCCTAGGTTTAAACTTTCAAGAGAGTCCAGGAATCGCCTCCCCCCCAAAAAAACTAATTAACAACAAAATATGAGTTAATGCAGCCGCCGAACCCCTACCCCCTAAACCCTAACCGCTAAACCCTAAACCCCAAACCCTGAACCCTAAACCCTAAACCCTAAACCCCAAGGATCCAGACGAGTTCAAGAAGACGCTCTCGCGATGGGCCTTCGAGTCCAAGACGGCCACGCGATTCGCCCCTTGGCTTGGGTTTAGGGTTTAGGGTTTAGGGTTTAAGGTTTAGGGTTTAGGGTTTAGGGTTAGGGTTTCGGGTTTAGGGTTTAGGTGATTCGCCCCTTGGCTTGGGTCGGCGCTGCTCTGGATCGAGCTGTGAGGTTTGGGGCTTAGGGCATCACGTCCTGCAGACGTTTCAAGGCTCGTCTTGGGCTTGCCCTCGGAAACTGGACAAGCAAGTAGGGCCCACTGGGGTTTTGTTCGCTAAAGAGGGGGGGGAGACCTCAAAAGCTCAAAAATATCCTATTGCCCATGTGAACCTGAGGCAAGTTCACGGCTGCGGCTTGAAGTCACCCAATAACCCTAAACCCTGAACCCTAAACCCTAAACCATCCAACCCTCGCGGCAGAAGCTTGCAGGGTCCCTTGGAGCCCCCACGTTCCGGGCAGATCGAAGCAAAATTAGCTCGAAGCAGGCTTGGGGGGGGTTACGGGTTTAAGGGTTTAGGGTTTAGGGTTTAGGGTTTGTTCCCCCCTATACTAACAGCTCCTTAATAGGGATTACTCTAGGGGGTACTAATCCTCCATTAAGGATTGTCAATACGGAGTACGATAGGGGGTACTATAATCCCATTAAGGACTGTCAATAGGGATTTCGATAGGGGGTACTAGAATCCCCCACTAAGGATTCTCAATAGAGATTATTATAGGGGGTACTATAATTCCCCATGAAGGACTGTTAGTATCAGGGGGAACATCCCGAGCTATAGGGTCCCTGAAAGTCAGGAACCCTTCCGGAGCTCCGTCTTCGTGAAATTCCTTGCGGGAGCAAATGAACCCTAACAGGGTTTATGGCCCGTCTGCCCCAATAGGGAGTTGTCGTAGTATAGGGTGCGTGATCCCAATCGCCCAATTTCAGTGGGATGTGGGGCCCTTTATATAAACCTGAAGCCCTGATCCTTAGATGCTTAGATGCCTTGGCCTAGCGGTACCCTCCCCCCAAAGCCTGATCCATGACCATCCTTGCACTAGAATTGCGCTTTCAGGGTTTAGGGTTTGGGGTTTTGGGTTTCGGGCATTTCCTTCGCGTCGTGCCGACGTGAGGTCAGATACAATCTCCAGCAGCTTATGAGCGAACACAACGCAGCTGCGACCTGTCTGCAAGTATGCTCGGGCTGATCGTTCGGGATTCAGGGTTGAAGGTTTAGGGTTTAGGGAAGCTGGATGGATGGATGCTGCCCTGGCCTCAGTTCCAGTCTTAAAAAGGGTTTAGGGATTCCGACATTCCCTCTTTGTTCCAGGGTCGTACTTGTAGTCGCCGTAGGAAATATGGTTTCTTTTCACACTTAAAGCGCAAGTGAGCCTTAATGGCATCGTTGTTGTTGCATTCCCTAAACCCTAAACCCTAAACCCTAAACCCTAAACCCTAAACCCTAAACCCTAAACCCTAAACCCTAAACCCTAAACCCTAAACCCTAAACCCTAAACCCCAAACCCGACCTGGGTCACGCGTGCGCGAGGATCTCCGGTGTGCATGCCTTCGTTGCTTAAGGGCTGTATGGGGTTTAGGGTTTAGGGTTTAGGGTTTAGGGTTTAGGGTTTAGGGTTTAGGGTTTAGGGTTTAGGGTTTAGGGTTTAGGGCAATTACAGAAGGCCTTGCCATGCGGCAGTGCTCTGCACGCACCACCTTGCAATGAACCTCAGCAGCTAACCGAAAAAAAACACGCTTCCCTTTTTTATGCTGCGGTTGCTGTCCCCCAAACCCTATAGCCCGAAACCCTAAAACTCTAAACCCGGAAGCCCTAAACCTTAAGACCCTCAAACCTATACCCTAAACCCTAAAACCCTAAAGTCCTAAAGCCTAAAGCCTAAAGCCTTAAACCCTGAAGCGTCGAGTCTCCAGGCCAAGCAGATTGAAAAGATGGAGTCGCGCTTGGCGGACGCTGGGGCCCCTGGTGGCGTTTGCCATCCAATGCCCGGAGGTTAGGGTCTAGGGTTCAGGGGGCCTACGGTTTAGGGTTCAGGGTTTAGGGCTTAGGGGTTGGGGGGTTTAGGGTTTGGGGGGCTCTTAACCAAGTAGTAGTTTAGAGTTTAGGGTTTTGGGTTTAGGGGTACATGGGTAAGTATAGGTAGGGTGAGAAGTGAAGGAACCTAAGCTGCTGCTCTGTTCCAGTGGAGCTACAGGTAGCTGTTCTACTATAGGGGTCGGAATAGTTGCTAGTAATATTCCCTTCTGGCCCCTTTAGAAGCATACTATAATTACCCCCCCCAAACCCTATGATTCTAATGATGAAGGCCCATGTAGTAGCCCTAAACCCTAAACCCTAAACCCTAAACCCTAAACCCTAAACCCTGGGCCCCCTGTATTACATTGCTGTCCGTGGGCGGTGGCTAAGGCCATGGCGTCCAAGTCCAAGAGCAGCCAACAGCAACGGCCACCCCGAAGACGAAGAAAGCGCCGGGAAGTTGAAGGCGCCTCAGAGGGTTTAGGGTTTAGGGTTTAGGGTTTTAGGGTTTAGGGTTTAGGGTTTGGGGGTTTTGGGTTTGGGGTTTAGGGTTTAGGGTTTTAGGGTTTTAGGGTTTTAGGGTTTTAGGGTTTTAGGGTTTAGGGTTTTAGGGTTTTAGGGTTTTAGGGTTTAGGGTTTGGGGTTTAGGGTTTTAGGGTTTGGGGGTTTAGGGTTTTAGGGTTTTAGGGTTTTAGGGTTTTAGGGTTTTAGGGTTTTAGGGTTTAGGGGCAGGGTTTAGGGTTCAGGGTTTAGGGTTTAGGGCTTAGGGTTTAGGGTTTAGGGCTTAGGGCTTAGGGCTTAGGGTTTAGGGTTCAGGGTTCAGGGTTTAGGGTTTAGGGTTCAGGGTTTAGGGTTTAGGGTTTAGGGTTCAGGGTTTAGGGTTTAGGGTTTAGGGTTTAAGGTTTAGGGTTTAGGGTTTAGGTCATCAAGTCCAGTTTGAAAGGTTTAGGGCTTAGGGTTTGGGTCGTTGCAACTTGTTCCGTTTTTTTTTTTTTTTTTTTTTGGGGGGGGGGGGGGGTGGAGACGAGTCAGCTATGCCCTAAACCTTAAACCCTAAACCCCACAACCGAAGCATAATTATGGTGGTTTAGGGCTTTTAGGGTCTTAGGGTCTACGGTATGTAGGGTTTATAGGGCGAGTAGGGCTTACGGAGCTTAGCCCTAAAC